AAATATACTCAAGCACACGTAATAGCGTTAAAAATAATTTTGTTTTTTTTTTGTGTTTTTTTTTAAAATAAATATATAAATATATAGGCATAATAAAATTGTCTTTTTTTTTAAAAAAAATTATATATCGTTTAAAAAAAATATCGGGATAATATAAAATGTCGAGTAGTGCTTTACGTGCAGTAGTCGTTTAGATGTTCTGGAAATCTTACTCTTCTTCCAGAACGCGTCGTTTTACGTTTTTTTTCAGATACATTCGGAGTATCATCGCTAGTGTTGGTTGTCGGTTGAGGAATTATGAGTGGAGTCGTGTCGTTCGATTGTAACGAAGGAAAATCGACGTGAATAGGATTTCCTTCTAAATACGCTGCTTTTAAGCGATCGATGCTGATGCTATCGTTTGTTCCGTTCTTATCGACTATATAGTACTTAGATTCACGTTGAAGAACTTTGAAGGGTCCTTCGTATGCTGATTCGAATGGTCGTCGATGCGAGTCTCGACGAACGAAAACGTGTGTACTATATCGTAAGTCAGGTTGAACGAATACATCAGTTGATTGAGGTCGAGTGGAAGCAGGTTTAACTGAACGCATTGCGTTTGTAAGCCTGTTCGTGTAGGAGGTTAGATCCATGTTCATTGAAGAGACGAAGGATCCACGAATTCTCCTGGAAGTCGAAGTGTCGTTCCATAAACGAGTTGAGCCGCAGTGTATCCAATGTCAGCTTTCACTGCATTGCGGATACCTAGTAAGACGAGTGGAAGAGCGTCGGTCCACTGTGAAACGTTTGCAGCTGATAGCGAAGCTTTTAGTTGTCGGTGAAAACGTTCTACCAACCCGTTTGCTTGTGGGTGGTAGGCGGTCGTTCGGAAGCGAGTGATTCCTAAAAGTGTGGTCAGACGACGGAAAAGTTCAGATTCAAACTGACGTCCGCGGTCTGTAGTGATGGTTGAAGGGCAGCCGAAGTTTGCTACCCATCGTTCGACGAAGGTGCGGGCCACTGTTTCAGCAGTGATGTCCTTGATAGGTACTGCTTCTGGCCATCGAGTGAAACGGTCTACGCAGGTTAAGAGGTAAGAGTATCCATTTGAATCTGGTAAAGGTCCTACCAAATCCAGATGAACATGGTCGAAACGAGCATCGGGAGTTTTAAACGAGCCTAAGGGACATTTATTGTGTCTGATAACCTTAGATTTTTGGCAGCTTACACAGGAGCGTGCCCACTCCCTCACGTCTTTATTCATGCCAGGCCAGCAAAACCGTTCTGCTATAAGCTTGATGGTTGCACGAACACCTGGATGAGAAAGTTTGTGCAATGTATTGAAGACATTGCGTCGATAATGTTTCGGCACGATTGGGCGATCCCTACCTGTAGATGTGTCACAAAGTAAGGTTTCCTTACCTGTTCCCATCTGTTTGATGCGTAGTTTAAGGGTTGTGGACGATAACTCGTGCTGAAGATCAGTGTCTTCTTTTTGAAGCTCGGCGAGTTTAAGAAGGTCGATTCCTTGGAAACTGTTCAAGGAAGTTATGCGAGATAAGGCGTCTGCAACTACATTGTTTGCTCCAGAAATATGTTGAATATCTGAAGTAAACTGCGAAATGTAGTCCAGTTGTCGAGACTCACGGGGAGAGTACTTGTCAGAAGGAGAGCTTAACGAGAAAGTGAGCGGTTTATGGTCCGTGAAAAGAGTGAATTCACGGCCTTCGATATAGTGTTGGAAATGCCGTACAGCACAATACATAGCTAGGAGTTCCCTACCGAATGTGCTGTACCTCGATTCGGTGTCTAGCAACCTTCTAGAGAAAAATGCCAAGGGTTGCCAGGAGTTGTTAACCCATTGTTGTAAGACTCCTCCGATTGCCGAGTCGGATGCGTCTACTGCGATGCTAATGGGTGCTTCGGTGTCCTGATGTGCGAGCATTGTTGCTTTAGCAATCAGTTCCTTAACTGTGGAGAATGCTTTTCGTGCGGTGTCGTCCAAATTAATGGATTTCGCATTTCCACGAAGTTGGTCGGTCAGAGGTTTCATAAGTAATGCGCATTTCGGTATGAAACGTCTATAGAAACTTACCAGGCCGTTAAACGTGCGTAATTGCTTGACGGTGGTCGGTTCTGGGTAATCCAGAATGGCCGCCACTTTGGTTCTAAGGGGTCGGATACCTTGAGCATCGATAGTGTGTCCCAGAAAGTCTAACGAGTCGGTTCCGAATTGGCATTTCTGAACGTTTACAGTTATGCCATGTTTTTGTAATCGTTCGAAAACAAGGTCCAGATGCTTGAGATGTGTTTCTCTGTCCGGACTTGCGATTAGACAGTCGTCAACATACGCGTGTACGAAGTTGAGACCTCGAAAAACGTCGTCTATGAATCTTTGGAATGTTTGAGCAGCATTCCTTAGACCGAAAGGCATTCGCAAAAATTCATAGAGTCCGAAGGGAGTTATGATAGCTGTTTTCGGTATGTCGTCAGTAGCCATAGGGATTTGGTTATACGCTTTAACCAAGTCGATTTTCGAAAAGACAGTTGTACCTTTCAAGGTAGCTGTCAAATCGTGAATGTGAGGCAACGGGTAACGATCGGGAATGGTTTTCGCGTTCAATCGCCGATAGTCACCAGTTGGACGCCAATCGTTGCTGTCCTTTTTAGGGACCATGTGCAACGGAGATGCATATGGGCTACTTGACGGTCGTATGATTCCTAAGTCCATCATGTGATCGAATTCGTTTTTCGCTAACCTTAGCTTTTCAGGAGCTAGTCGTCGTGCTTTAGAGAATACAGGTGGTCCTGTAGTCGTGATGTGATGTGTAACATTGCTGGTTACACACGGTAGTTTCGGTTGAGTTTGTTGTATCCCAGGGTACTTATCGAGTAGTGGTTGATAGAGTGGGTCTATCATATGTTTAACTGTGACTGGGGATACTCTACAACCAGTAAAAGAAGTTACGCAAACGGACAAATTAGTGTTTCCGTCTACTAGCCTCCGTTTGCGAGTGTCGATGATCAGATTGTGGTGTTGTAGAAGGTCCATACCAATGATTGGCATAGAAACATCTGCAACGACGAAAATCCAGTGGATGGGTTTGCGTAAACCCACGTTAAGGTAAACGTACCTTTTGCCATACGTAGCGATCGGTTTTCCGTTTGCCGCCTGTAAGTTTAGAGTCGATTCGTGAAGTCGGTCGTTAGGATTCGCTGGGAGAACGCTAACTTCTGCGCCAGTGTCGACGAGGTAGCGAACTCTCGTTGTCACATCTGTGACGTATAACAGACGGCTATGTTCGCCGGCTACGGTTGCCGTTAACGCGTGCCGGCTTGGAAGTTTCCCGATTGTTTTTCGAATCAGTCGGTTTCGTGTTGGGAAAATTGCAGGGTTTTCTGCAATTTCTGGAAAACTTTCCATACTGGTTATGATACCAGCACCAGTCGGGGTTATCTGTCTCTCGTGGTCTAGAGACAGATCGCTTACGAGAAATGCTTCTACGTGGTGTGCGCGATCTCTTACGGTCGGTACGAAGACTAAGATAACGCGTGAGTGTGTGACATAAGTCGGTTATGTCATTCTGAGTCGTGTGAGGCTTTTCTTTGACTGAAAATACCTCGGTAGTAGAAGGTTTCGTAATTTCTAGAATGCGGTCGGCAGATGCAGCTAGCTCGTCTAAGGCGTTGTTCTGGAACGAGACCAGAACTGCTTGCACCTGTTGGGGAAGTTTTGACAAGAAGAGTTGTTTGAATAGACCTTCGTCGAAAGTTCTTGGGCCTATAACCTCTCTCATCCGTTGCAACATGTCTGTCGCAGAACCGTGTTGCAGGTCGATGTTATTGAAGAGTTGATCTAACCTTTGTCGATCGGTTAGGTCTCCTCGTTTAAGAATCGAGCGTTTTAAGATTTCGTAAGGATCGGAAACATCACTAGTAAACATACTAGGTGTTACGTACCTGTTGAATTCGCGCGGTAGTGCCTTGACTACTGCGAGGAATTGTGCACGTGTGTCGATCACGCCGTGCTCGTGGAAGTCGGCTTCTGCGTAGCAAAACCAGGCTTCGATGTTGTCGGGCCAGAAAGGCATCAGTTGAAACGAAGGTGGGGACAAAGTCTTAAGCTTGAGTACTTTAGGTGTCTGTTCAGTCATGATAAAGTATAAAGTACGATAATGAACGAGGGGCAATTATATATATATCCAAGAAAAATTACGAAAAAAAATCACAATGTTTAAAAAAAATAAAAAATAAGGCAATGATATATAAAAATCCCAAAAAGGAACAGACTCACAGTTGCAATAAGGTGTACCAGATCACGACGGTCTCACCAATGATGATGTCACAGGTATTCAGTGTTTGACAACGCTTCTACCAGTAACACCTTCTAACGTATTTCGTTCCCACCCAGAGAAATCAAAAGACAGAGTCGAGGAGATCGGAAGAGTATATTTGGCGACGACCAATATATCGGAATTCTCTGATCTAATCTGGCTAGCGATTGCGGTTGATGTTGAGCACGGCGTTACCACACGTGATCTGGTGCGGATGCATGACCGAGCGCCTTCAGCTAGATGAGTCCACTAAAACATACGGTCAGCATCCAATGTCGAAAACTTAGTGCTATTTATTTTGGGGATTTATTTACCGCTACACTGTTATTTTTAGTAATTCATAACTACTGGTGGCTACCACACAAGTTCTGGACTTGTTTTCATTTCAAATGGATGGAAAAAAATCTTTGTATCAAGCGCTCAGTTCACGAAATTGAGTTTTAACGGCGAATTAAAACGTTCCTTCTGATGACAATTTTATTAATAAACATGGTGTGATGGTATAAATAGAAAACTTGTTAAAGACTTATTTGCAAACATTATGAAAGGAATCGCAATGCCTACAAAACTGAATAATTTACAAAAACCACTTGATTATGAACGAAATAATCTGTTTACACAGAGACGTTTATAATCACATGCTACGAAGTGGTACTAGGTAAAAAGTTAAAAATAATAGCCATAGATGGCTGCAATTAAACGCAACTCAATTTCGTAAATGTGCCCTTCAGCTTAGCAACCAATCAGAATGAGGCGGGAATTATTACATGCGCCATCATTGTAAGCAATGGCGGTCGGCTTTGTTCGTTCTGTGCTTCTTTCAGCTATTTCTTTTGTGTAGATATGTAATTTAATGTCAGTGTGCTAAAATGCTGCAGATAGTGTAATGTTCTATATGTTGGTGTGAAGTTTATTTCGAACCAGCGATGTTTTCTGGGTTTTCGCTGCTTCTACTCAAGTCATTGTATTTCTTCGGGCAATCTGGCTAGTCTTGTGTTATAAAATGTCGGCCGACTTTCTTCGTTCTGTGTTTTTTCCGCTATTTCTTTTGTGTAGCTACAGAATTTGGTGTTTCAGTGTGCTAAAATCCAGAAGTTAGTGTAATACTCTGAACGTTGAAGCAAAATGTTTCCTGATTTTGCTTTGTTTTCTGGGTTTTACCTGCTGCTAATGAAGTCACTGTATTTATTCAGCTAAGCTGGCTAGTACTAACATAAGACCTTACGTTTTTAAACGACAATCGGTTATGTTTTACCTTGTTTTCTAGATATCCGAAGCCGAAGTTCGTTTTTATTTAGCTAAGATAATTGTTGCTGCCGCCTGTGACTCTAACTGTTCGCATGTTCGTTCCTAACTGTCCTTTATGATGTTATCGGCAAAATGAAAGGAAACAATCTGCATTTTTTAATCTTCTTCAGTATTATGGACAACACTATCCCACCGAGTCAAACTAATACAGAGTGCCCAGCAGTAGGGTATATCGGTACTGATTTCGAAAGGACCCAGACTTCCGACAACTATAGGTGAAGTCACAGATGCCACCAATCTATTGCAGGGGGTTTGTTATGAAAAATATGCCATATAACAGTAATAGAGGGGTTGTACTCAATGCGTTAAAGCAAGCTTAACATTGAAAGGCGGAAATCTGCTACCAGTGTCTAGTGTATGTTTGCTGTTTTAGCCATAAAAGGAAGCCGAAGGGTCATGATCAGGGAGTAAAAAGGTAATTAACTGTTATTAAGCTCACTTTTTATAAATCATATTTCACCACTCGCAAATTTGTGTTTTCTTACGGTATGATGTCAACTGGTACCTAATATGTTCACCCTTACGATGAGAAGTACCTGCAAATTTTCACCATCATATTCGAATTATTTTTGGACAAATGTCTTACAGTCTGAGTGCTTCGTACGCCCCGAGAAGCTCTATTTCTACAACATTCGTAGTTCCAGTATAACTTTCTCACGCAGTAAGTTCAAATTAGACACTAGTCTTTCTAAATAAGCCTGTTAAGCTAATATCCGTATTCTTTATTTCAGTTGATCGATGAAGACATGTACCACGTGCATCTGCTGTATACTGCCATTTCACTCCAATTCTAACTGTTATATCTTACTTTTGAATAATAAAATTGCTATATACTGCAAATACAGACTTATTTGTTTTGATGGAGGTATGGGGGTTCATGGAATTTTCAGCAGGTCCGTATTAATATTCTCACTAAAGAGTTCAGCGAGTGCGTAAACCAGTGTAAGGTACCATACGGGGTGCATTTTAGTTACTAGTGTTCCATTAGTGCGGGTAGGGGCATTGCTTGCTTGTCATTTGAATTAGAAGCTATAAGATAAGAAGTATGTTAGGATGTGTAACGCGTGTCCATCCATCAGCTGGCGTGACAACCCATGGTGGTTAGAATAAGTTATGAGAGGACCCGAGTATGTAAGTCTCGCAAGAAAATGACGAAGATATGCACGAAATCACCTTATGAAAATCGCCTCCAATCACTTAACCTCTACTCATTAGAGTATAGACGTCTTAGAGGTGACCTAATGGCTTACAATAACCTTAACACTTCTGGACATCCCCTAAAACACCTACCTAAGCTTAGTCCCAGAAACCAGCTACACAACATAGCAGAACGAACTGCAGACGCAACTTCTACTCCTTAAGAGTTGTCAAATGCTGGAATCCGCTGCCGGCCGAGCTAGTCCAAGCGACTTCCCAGGAGTCCTTTAGGAGCCAACTGGATTTATTCTTAAGGACTAAGTATAGTATCATACTATGACTTACCAATTTCTTTTTCCTCTTTTATTGTTAACATACCTAGTTTCCTGCCTTGAGGTATTGGTGATCCCCTGCTAATAGACACGGAAGCCTGTTAAGCGAAAGCTTCTTCTATTCAGTCCACAACCATTTGAACACATGAACTAGGTGCTGAGAGGCTCGCTTATCACAAGTTTCTTGCAACGATTAAGTAGATAAAACAAAGTAGCATTAGATTTAAAAATTTATTCAAGAACTTTCATTAAGAATCGAATATCAAACAAAGGTTTAAACCAAGTCCCCGTTTAAAAGTTGTATTGGTAATGTTAAGCTGCAGTTTTTGTTTTTTTCCAAACGAAAGAGTAAAAGAAGTCAAAAAATACTGGAAGTGGTTGTGAGACTAAAATGGACGTCCAGCATCCTTTTTATAATCTGCTGTTCGTTGGATCTCCCGTAAACAGTTCCATAGGACCATAGTTCCAAGGGCGAAACAGTTTTTAGGGTCTGTGAAGGCTCACTCCTGTTGCATTCTAAATGAAAAAATATTGATGAATTTAGTCAGAAATGTGGAATATATAAATAACCAAATCACATGTTTTTTAGCAAAGAATTTATGCAGTTGTGATTTAACTTGAGTTCATGAATATTAGATAAGGTCAGCTACTATTACTTGCGCAAAGCATAACATGGGCTTAGTACCGTATTGCAATGCTTTTATTATTTTGCTCCCATTTAAGTATTCCCATGCATCTGAGTCTAGGTTAACAGGAAAACATACGAGCAGAGTAAGTTTATGATGAACTAAAAGTCCCAGTTGTTAAAAAGATTCTTAACATTTGTCCACAGCCAGCTGCATTTAATTGAGACACAGACCACTCATCTTCTAAGACTGTATACTGCTGTTTTGCGGGCAACTAAAAGCTCAGACACTTAGCTATCTCGCTACCAAAGTTATTGCTGGGGAAAATTGTTTAATGACAGTGATCATGAAATATGGTCAGTGATAGATGTACAGCTTAGAAATAAACACCAAACATACTTATCGCTATCTTATAATGTATGACAGCAACAGCATCAAAGGCACGTTTTTTCCTATTTTTAATCAGACTGATCTGAATCCGTATACACATTAGAAACAGGCAACTCCACTTACTAAACTGATCTGTTTCGTTACAGGCTTCAAGCACTATACTTAAGTATATCATAATTCTTTCAACTAAACTGAATTATACGACAACCAAGAACACTAAACTAAACAAGTGTCATACTTATTGTTTCACTTCCAAAGACATGTTGCTCAAAGTAGTTAAATGGACATAATTAAGCCGATAAAACCAAAACACGAAATATAGGCCAGTTGAACTTACCTAAGAAAAAAAGAAGGATACATATATACTGCTTTCATACTGAAGACAACAGGCAGTTGTTCATAGAAACATAGTTTACAGTACAACAAACCTTTCTTCAGTAAAATCATGCATTGACAGTCTACCTGGAAACAATCAACTATGTGAATAAACTCACTATGACTTGAGATATCATCCTAGCGTGCAATGGACGTACAGTGTGACGCAATCGGACGTGGCGAATAAAAATTAAAAACAAAGCAAAATTAACTACAAAATCTAGTTGTTTAATTAAAAATACATTATGAAATTACAAAATCTGTGATTACTTGAACGCACAAATGACAGTGTGCGACACATTAAGTTTACATGGTTGCGTTGCGGAAAAGATCACCCGCCATAGATACAAAAACCCAAGTAAGTTCTTTATATGTCTCACAGTAACTGAAGAAAGCAAAAAGACTAGGAAAAGGTTAGTGGGTGAGACTATAATTTATGGAAGACCTTCGAGAGACGCTGAAGGGACCTTGAGAGTGGACACCTACTGACTAGGACTAAATGAGGGTTATGAAGCAGTTAGAATTCTCATTTACAGTCGACGGTTATGGTTTAAAATTAGATTTAGGGTTTTCATCACGAACCGACATCAGCTATAATGCCAAAACTCTATTTAGCCAAATGTATGGATGAATTTCGGGCCCAAACTCGCGACTCGTTATTTTATATTTGATTGGTTCGTTCATAAATTATGGTTTCGTCGATTAATGGATTACAAATCTGGCGAGACTATAATTTATGGACAAAGCAATCAGATATAAGATAAAGAGTCACGAATTTGGGCGCGGAACTCATTCATACATTTGGTTAAATGGAGTTTGAGCATTATAGCGTATGTCAGTTCGCGATGAAAACCCTTAATCTAATTTTAAACCCTAACTATCGACTGTAAATGAGAATTCTAACTGCTTTATAATTCTCATTTAGCCTTAATTAGTTGTTCACTGTCAAGGTCACTTCAGCGTCTCTAAAAAGTCGTCCGTAAACTAGTCTCACCAAAAATCTTACCAACTCCGTTGGGCTTCTAACTACGGCTCCTATAAGCTTCTAGCCAAATGAATTGGTCCTTTATATCCGTCATGTTCATGATAAAGACTAGTAACTGCATACATCTATCATAGTTTAAATAATGAACGAATTTCGAAAAAAAATAACATGCATAGAATAGGATATGAATGAGTTCAGTTTTTCTAATAAAACTAATTGTAAGCAGAAAATCAGAGGACCAACAAGAAGGATATGAAGCATTCTAGCTATAGACGATACTGCTTAAACCAAGTTTTGGTTGATCATATTGACAGATACCCGTATTATCACATATAAGCCAAAAAGATTGGTTGCAAGTGTTAAGAACAACTGAACACATCACTAAACTTACTTGTTGAAATACAGTCATACCCTACGAACAAAGTTGGCTCAGCTGCATTGTCGATTATGAAAGAACATTCTCTCGCCAACAAATCAGCAGACAAGTCAGATGAATAATGAACGGAATTTTTACATACAGAATGACCAGAACATCTTCTAGATATATCGGCAGTCACATCGACCCAACAATCTCGAGAATTCTGTATACGACACCGATCGGCTGAGTTCGATATAAGTAGAATCTCACGAAAATAACCAAAGTAAGCTTCATGAATAATTATTGTTTTTTCAGAGCCACAATGTATATGCAGAGACTCGTTATAGCATGACAATTCCCAATCTAAAATTTCGCAGTGATATAACTGTAGAAATGAAGAATTACCAGCTGAAGCTTCAAAAATGCAGGTGAAGATCCATACTTGGTATGCAAAGAGAATACCGAGAAGCATACTTCATATCTTCAGAGTAGCTTCCAAACATGCATTTTGAAATCGTGCCACCACATGAACTTCATGCATAAATATTCAAGTTGAAGTGGACAAACAAACGACTTGAAGGTAGTTCTCCACTATATCAAAGGTAGTGTCTCTATTCTGAATTCATCTGCTCAAAATATTCTATCTTTAAGATATCTTCAAAACGAGTTATTCAACGCATCTAGTTGAAATGGTTAGTTAATAAAGTTTCAGATATTTCATTGTGTTGAAAAGTGTGAACCAATCACAAAATGCATAAAATAAGGAGTCTCTTGGAGGTTAAACTTTGACGTTTATTCTGGAAAATTCTCAATTCCATTTCCTACTCAGAGTGTTCAACAGAAAATTGTAGTTATATTCACTAGCGCATAAGTAGTTGTAGCGGTAAATATATCTTCAAGATCAGTAGCTGTGTAGGTCTTCGATAATTGATGCTGACCACATTAGCTTTAATGGAATCACTCAGCTGAAGGCGCTTGGTCACGCATCCGCACCAGATATTGAGTGAGAACGCCGCTAGCCATTTTAGATTAGTCACTCCTCGATTTATTGATAACCTATCGAATATATCTCAACAACTCTCCGTTTCTGACTTTGGATTTTACTGAATGTGGACGATTCAATTAAAGAGGGTGTCACTGGTTGAAGTGCTGTCATCTTCATGGTCATATTTTTGTTTTGTGATTTTTGTAGCAATTAGGTATTGCCTGTAGATGGGCTTGCTTCATGTGATATGTAAATATTGAGTTAGAATTGTTATGACTATAGTTTAGTTTTACGATTAGATACATAATTCTACCCGACTGATATCATCCTTCTTGTTCCTCTTCTGAGAACAAGTGGCGGGATAGGTTGATCGCAACGTTTTCTAATTCCGTTGAAATATTAACTGCCACTCATTAATGACAGAAAATATGTAACATTCGAACGTCCCACATACTTGGCTAAGCCACTACAAGCTCGAGCTTGGAAACGAAATTTCAAATTCGATTTATACACAATAGTGAATTTGAATGCGCAAATACTGCATCAGTATGACTAATCCTTTTCAATTATTGTGCTATTGAATGTTTTTATCGCTGCTTGTACCACTGAGTTGTCAAAATCATAATATTCGAGTTTGAACTCCTTCAGTTCCTATTGTTGAATCTTGTTTGCGCGTCACCTGATTCATCGCGAATTTTTATTACAGTGCCATTATTTCTACGTGAAAGGTTCCTTTTTCCACCACTTTTCAATACTGATTTAATAATAGGACGGTGTTTCAATATACGAGGTAGGAAACCAGGTATGAATCGTTCAAAAATGTGAAACTGCTACTTATATTCGTTTAAAAAGTTGAATCGAGCACCAGCACTAACCTCTTAAGTAAAGGAGAGTACCAAAAGTTACACGATACTACAAACTAAAAGCTAGTTAATTTATACTGTCATCAGTCAAATTGAGTTTTTTCCCTTGACGATTAAATACGTGGACGTAGAAAGTCAGTGTTTCTATGGTTTACTTTAGTGTCACCTGTTCTCGCACGATCGATCTTTAGCCATCAATACCAGTAGCGACATAAATTTGTGCAAGAAAAAAGACTCAGGTTTATCAGAGCCCACTCACCTGAGTGGCGACAACCCATGGACTCTCGAAATCAAATAAGTACTAAAATTTTCTATAATAGCGACGACAAACTGCACGTGAAAACTATAGAAAAAATACTGAATGACCACCATTAAAAGAATGTCTCCCCGCATAAACTGACTGAAGACTATGACTGAGACAAATCAGAAGGATAATTTCAACATATAAGTCAGTCACATATCCTTCGAAAGTAAAGCGATGCGTGTATGTTTTTAGTATGGCAACTAAAACGTGTCGTAGTTAATACAAATTTATAATGTGTCTGTTATAGGGTTGACGAATGAATTTCTGCAAGAGGAATTCGAAATCACTGATCAAAGTTTGAACAAAGTTCTAATTTATATTGATGAGTAATGTCTAAATAATGCTCATCAGTAGAATTATAATCGAGTTCGGTACTAATACTACTTTGATGATAGACTTGATCACAAAACGGTAAATTTGTCATATGCTTGCCCAATTTGTAAGGTCTTATGTGGAATTCACGTAGTTATTGTTAATTATCCCAAAACGTTACCCGTCAAGACTATCAGTATATCTACCCATGATACTACAAATAAGACGAAAATAAAACTTGAACAAACGTTTATTGATGCACCATAACTACCGGCACAAGAAGAGGAACATTTGACGCGGAGAAATCAGTTTACGAGTTGGACACATATTTAAGCTAAAAGTACTCCGACAAAGTACTTCTTTTAGTAAACAGTTCCTATCACGTCTCCGCACTCTATTGTATTCTCCTCCATATTTTCTATCGAATAGAATAGTACATAAAGACCGGCGTTAGAGGAACTACAGTCTCACCTTCTTCTTATGTAAAATTCGGTTTCGTTGAGTCTGTACATTTTGTTTACTTCATCTGGGTAGTGAAATTATAGATTTTATGGCAGGTGTGAGTGTTATCTATCTTTCATGGACTGCAATAACTAAGAATTTGATGAACTATACAGTTTATATTTCGTCACTGATCGAGTTAACCTGTAAGAGATCGACTTTTTATGTGAGTCAGTAGCATCTCAATCTCCCAAGTTAGAGGAAATTTCAGGGGCAAGGACACCGGTACGTCACAATGTTTCCGTGATCCTGATTACGTCTGCTCACAATTCCTTTTGGTTTCAGGCAAATAGACCAAACTTATCCCCAAAGTTTACTCAAACTAGACAGACGTTTTCCCAAAATATGGAGATTGTCAGGTTACGAAGCAAAAATCAATACAACGTGTGCATCACAAGACAGAGAGATAAATCAATGATTTCGCAATGATTTTGTGGTTTTGCTTTAGCGAAAGATCACTTAAATATGTAAACACGTGATAGTTCTGAAACACCACAGGCGCTCAACAAACCCACAGTAACTGAAATACGGAATTACCGCTCGTGTCAGGTCTTCAAAATCGTTGAAATGGAACGGAGGACAGCATTGAGAAGATTCAACTTTTTCAACGTGCCGTTATATGTGCATCATGCTAATTATTAACACGGAAGAGTAAAGATAAACTATATGGTGACTAAGTAATGTTATATCTATCAAGCAACTCCATATCAGGTGATTAATATTGTGAGTATTAGCATTAGTTCTGTTGTAGTTATTATCAATAAGAAGTCACTGGATGGGTGTCATCAGATCAGGCTTGTCGTTTCGGCTGGTTTGGTGGTGGACTGAAATTAACATTTATTGGTTCAGTTTTATAAATCACGATAAACGAATTTATTGATATATGAATTCGACATTTCTCAACAATGTACGTATCGACACTCAACTGATTTCATTGCAAAAGATATGAGACATTTTGAAAGAGATTTTTGATTATTTCAAAGCCCTTTATAGCCATATTTCTGTGTTAATCTCATTACCAGGACAACGCACTTATTGTCACCTGTTCTCGCACGATCGATCTTTAGCCATCAATACCAGTAGCGACATAAATTTGTGCAAGAAAAAAGACTCAGGTTTATCAGAGCCCACTCACCTGAGTGGCGACAACCCATGGACTCTCGAAATCAAATAAGTACTAAAATTTTCTATAATAGCGACGACAAACTGCACGTGAAAACTATAGAAAAAATACTGAATGACCACCATTAAAAGAATGTCTCCCCGCATAAACTGACTGAAGACTATGACTGAGACAAATCAGAAGGATAATTTCAACATATAAGTCAGTCACATATCCTTCGAAAGTAAAGCGATGCGTGTATGTTTTTAGTATGGCAACTAAAACGTGTCGTAGTTAATACAAATTTATAATGTGTCTGTTATAGGGTTGACGAATGAATTTCTGCAAGAGGAATTCGAAATCACTGATCAAAGTTTGAACAAAGTTCTAATTTATATTGATGAGTAATGTCTAAATAATGCTCATCAGTAGAATTATAATCGAGTTCGGTACTAATACTACTTTGATGATAGACTTGATCACAAAACGGTAAATTTGTCATGTGCTTGCCCAATTTGTAAGGTCTTATGTGGAATTCACGTAGTTATTGTTAATTATCCCAAAACGTTACCCGTCAAGACTATCAGTATATCTACCCATGATACTACAAATAAGACGAAAATAAAACTTGAACAAACGTTTATTGATGCACCATAACTACCGGCACAAGAAGAGGAACATTTGACGCGGAGAAATCAGTTTACGAGTTGGACACATATTTAAGCTAAAAGTACTCCGACAAAGTACTTCTTTTAGTAAACAGTTCCTATCACGTCTCCGCACTCTATTGTATTCTCCTCCATATTTTCTATCGAATAGAATAGTACATAAAGACCGGCGTTAGAGGAACTACAGTCTCACCTTCTTCTTATGTAAAATTCGGTTTCGTTGAGTCTGTACATTTTGTTTACTTCATCTGGGTAGTGAAATTATAGATTTTATGGCAGGTGTGAGTGTTATCTATCTTTCATGGACTGCAATAACTAAGAATTTGATGAACTATACAGTTTATATTTCGTCACTGATCGAGTTAACCTGTAAGAGATCGACTTTTTATGTGAGTCAGTAGCATCTCAATCTCCCAAGTTAGAGGAAATTTCAGGGGCAAGGACACCGGTACGTCACAATGTTTCCGTGATCCTGATTACGTCTGCTCACAATTCCTTTTGGTTTCAGGCAAATAGACCAAACTTATCCCCAAAGTTTACTCAAACTAGACAGACGTTTTCCCAAAATATGGAGATTGTCAGGTTACGAAGCAAAAATCAATACAACGTGTGCATCACAAGACAGAGAGATAAATCAATGATTTCGCAATGATTTTGTGGTTTTGCTTTAGCGAAAGATCACTTAAATATGTAAACACGTGATAGTTCTGAAACACCACAGGCGCTCAACAAACCCA